ATGATGATGATGATGATGACGATGATGATGATGATGATGATGACGACGACGACGACGACGACGATGATGATGATGGAGAAGGAGGACGAGGAGAAGATGTTGATGATGACGATGAGGAGGAGGATGGAATTCATGTCGCATGTTCGATCAGGTCTGTATCATGTTCCTTGGAGAGCCCGGGACCAAGGTCAAGCTCATCTTGCAACGGCCTCCCAGCACGACAGGAGGAAGGAGCAAGACTATCGTCGTTGAGCTCGAGAGGATGATACAGAAGGGTGCGCCAGGTTGTGAACGATGGAGAGGACAAGAGGAATGCCGTGCAGACTTATCGAAGCTCCTGCCCCTGCCCCTGCCCCTGCCCCTGCCCCTGCCCCTGCCCCTGCCCCTGCCCCTGCCCCTGCTCAATCAGCCAAAACCGGGTCTATGTTGACTATCCTGAGCTTTCGCGAGCCATTGTTCTGACACAACCTGATCGATTCTATTTCTCCCAGCCAATCGACAGACTAGCCCCACCCCCGGAGCCCGATCCCATCGGCTCCCCATACTCCGGTCTCTTTCCCCCCCGCTCCCTCCCCTTCTCTCCTTCCTTTTTCTTTTCTCTTCCTTTTCTTCCCCCTCCTCCCCTGACTTGCCTTGCTAGCGTTCCAGCTAGATTCTAGTCCTCAGCACTGGCCCGAGCACAGGGACGAAGGGGCTCGGGGGATCCCAAGAGGGAGCGACAAGCACGCTGGGACTAGCTTGCCGCAAAGAGCTCAGCAACTGGCTGTATCTCCCCCCTCCTTCCCGCCACCCCCTCCTCCTGCTTTTCCCCAGCCTTACACCCAGCAAGATCAGTACTTGCCTCCGCAGCAACACATCCTGGTCTCCTCTTCCTCGCAGCAACCTCAACCTTCGCAGAGTCTCAAAATGCAGCCAGCGTCCTTGTTCGCCTCCCAGGATGTCAAGTACTCCTCGGCATCAAGGGACAGACACGATGGTGATAACGAATCATTTCCCCTTTCCCCCCATCCTCCTTGTCCTCCTCCTTATCCTCCTCCTCCTCCTCCTCCTCCTCCTCCTCCTCTTCCTTCTTCTTCTCGTCCATTCCTCTCCTCCTTCACTTCTTCCTTTTCTTCCTTCTTGTCCTTCTTGTCCTTCTTGTCCTTCTTGTCTTTGTTCTCGCTCCCTTTGCCTGGGTTCATACACGCTCACTTCATAGTTTCCCTTTTGATCTTCTGATTTGGGCAGCAAACAAGACCAGTCTTCCGGAGAGAGAGAATACCAGTACTCTGTTCAAGCAACAAGTCAAAAGACGGGTAGGAAGACGAGGAGAATGTTTATTTTCTCATTGAATGTTGTTGATTCTTCTTGTCCGCGCAGGTTGAAAATTTAAAATGGATCACACCAGACCATGTACAACCTCTACCTCCTCCAGCCTCGTTTCCACCTGCACAAGCTCCCCCTCCTTCCTCCTTCATTCTTCATCCTTCCTCCTTCCTCCTTCCTCCTTTATCCTTCATCTTTTCTCCTTCCCTTCTCCTCCTGCTCCATACTAATCTTGATTTCCTTTCCCCCCCTTTCACCCTCTCCTCAGGTCTTCATCGACTCCTCCAAGACCATCTCGGCGCTCCTCGGGGAGCGGCTGAAGTTGAAGGAGGAGGAGGCGAACGGCAAGGAGGGCAACTTGCTGTCTCCTTTACTCCCGTCCTCCGCCACTGTCAAAGACGCGCTCGTCCTTCTCAACACGCACGAGGAGGTCGTGCTCGTCCTCAACGAAGCAGGAAAGAAGGAGGACGAGGAGGCGGGGAGGAGGGAGATTGGAGTGAGCAGGAAAGAGCTGCTCTTCTATCTCCTTGGCCAATCGGCCAGCAAGAGGGAGGAGCTTCTGTCCAGACCCCTCAGGCAGGTGGTTGAGGTGAATCTGTTTGCTGGTGAGATACCTCAAGACTTCCACCTCCTCCCTTCCACCTCCTGGTTGAACTGATGCTAGTTTCCTTGAATGTGCCCTCC